GTAAAGAGTCTTTGAGTGTCCAGAAAAGTGCTGTATAAATGCAATGACTGATTCATTAATAATTAGATCTGTGGAGAGGCTCACTGTCAGAATGCCTGTTTTTTGTTTGTTTTTTTAGCTTTAAAACTCTAAAATGTCATAAATATAAAGTAGAGCTGTTTAAAGTCACACTGTGGAACATTCTAAACCAAATGTTTCCCAACCTTTTTTTCTGGGGACCCATATTTTAAGAGTCACAAACCACTGCATCAATAAACATTATTGGTAAATCACAAAATAAAGTGAATTAATGTTAATTAATTTGTTAATTATCCTCATGATTAAAATGAATGAGGATATTTTATTGTTGACTGACTGATCGTGTCTCTGGACAATTAATATTACTCAAGTTTTAAACAATGAAAAACAGGAATTGAACCAGAAATAAAAGGATGCATAAGGATCCTGACCTTATCTCCTCCTTTTTGGACAATCATCTGCATTTCTGAACTTCAGCTGCAGGACACGGTTCACTGACTCACCTGCTCCCTCTTGTGTCACAACTGTAAACTGCAGATCGTGACAAAAAAAACTCTCTTGTGACTCACCTGAAAGTCTTTGGAAAACAATGTTCTGAACCAAGTAATGACAGATCCATAGAAACAAGCCGACGACAGACGCTCCACCAGAAAAGTTACACAGTGCATCTTTATCCTGCAGCCTCCTGAACACGACCGGACAGTTTTTTTTACTTTATCATTAATTAAACTATTGTCTTTGTTTTGCAGATACCTGTGTGACTTCACGTACTACACGTCTCTGTACCTGAGCCGGGGCCGCTCCGCCTTCGTGCACGTGCCTCCGCTGGGGAAGCCCTACAACGGCGAGGCGCTGGGTTTGGTTCTCCAGGCCATCGTCCACGGCATCCTGGAGCTCCTGGAGGAAACGGAGGAGATCCACTGTCAGCAGCACTTACTCTAAACCCACTGTCACGTCAGACCGAGCAGTGAGAGTTTATCCTGTACCTCGCTCACACTACCTCACGAGAACAACGTCTCTGTTTTTCTGCTTTGCAACTTGACAGAAGAGAAAGTGGAGAAGGGCGATTTGATCTGTAAAGCTCCTACGACAGGTCGGACCACACGTTCTACGAAAACTCAGCTCATTATCTTTATATTTAAGATTTATCATATCAAAATCTAAAACATATTTGCCTAATTTGGACATTTCTTTTAGTGGTTTTTACGTCCTGGTTGGAAATCATGACATCTTCTCTAAACTCTTTTTATGCTTACGTCACAAATCAGGAAGATGTTTGGAAACATGCGATGACAACTTCCGGCGGCTCTGTTCGCAGTTGTGAGGCTACATCCACATGACAACGCTCCTGGATTTTTAATTTTTTTTCCGTGTTGAAAAAAATTTGCGTCCACACGTGTCGGATCAATAAATATTCAAGTCCACACGACAGCGGAGAATCTGTGTATCATTTGTTCATTCGTTTTTCAATATAAAACCAAAAATAAGGGTTAGGGTTAAGCTCGGAGTCAAAGCTCGGAGTCAGAGCTCGGAGTCAGAGCTCGGAGTCAAAGCTCGGAGTCAAAGCTCGGAGTCAAAGCTCGGAGTCAAAGCTCGGAGTCAAAGCTCGGAGTCAAAGCTCGGAGTCAAAGCTCGGAGTCAAAGCTCGGAGTCAAAGCTCGGAGTCAAAGCTCGGAGTCAAAGCTCGGAGTCAGAGCTCGGAGTCAAAGCTCGGAGTCAAAGCTCGGAGTCAAAGCTCGGAGTCCGCTCTGGTCCCGCTCTGGTCCTGGACCTGGATCAGTCCTGGTTCAGTCCGTATGCGGTGCAAAAGTCCGGCATCGCAGTCACGGACGTCACGTAAACAGGATGTTTTCCATTTTTTCCATTCTTTATTTAAACACAAAATCTAAAACTAAAAGAACTAATCATTATCTGTTTTTTCATTTTGGTTTTGGAGACAAAAACTGTTGTTTTTTTCGTTTTCTTATTTTTGGTTTTATATTGAAAAACAAATGAACGAATGATACACGGATTACGGAGCACTAAGTGAAAAACAATTCATTTATCCATTCATCGTCCTCGAAGTTTCTCCCAGGTCTCACCAAAAGTCTTCTTCTGGTGGCCGTTCTAGTTTAACCTGGTAGTGAGTTTAAAAGAATCCGGTGCGTGTAATTGTGTCTCTGTTGGTGTCGCGCTGCAGAGTAGATTTAGACGTTTTCACGTAACGATGCAAATAAACTTAGAAGCGTCTGCAGCACAAACTCTGCCTCGTTCTCCGTCATGTTTGTTGTTCTGGTTGTTACCGGTTGTTGCTCAGGTTCTCTTCTGGTCACATCACGACGATGGTTTTCCCAAAGCTGTGGTTTGCTCGTCCACACGACAACACAACGCCGGCGTTCTCAGATTTCTCCACTCTGGAACCTGTTTTCAAAAAGCACCGTTTTGCCCACACAAAACGCCGCTTCTGTGTGGACGAAACTTCACTGTTTCAAACAAAAACGTTGTCGTGTGGACAGCACCAGTCTGACAAGAAAAATGAGAACATGTCCCAGTTTTCTTCATCTCCATGTCCTTGTCTGTTATGTTCAGATAATCAACAATTACAACCACAGTTTTCATTATTTTAATAATAAATAAATAAATAACAAATAATTTATAACGCATCCATCTCTTTGCCGACAAATAATACTTACCCTGGTCGCCAAACAAGTACTTTTCTACAAAGAACTTGTCGCCTTTCTCTAGTTTTGAGCTCCTTGTGAGTGACATTGAAGACGTGATTAGAGTCACATCTGGAAAGCTTTGGCAGGTTGTAAAGACGCTGCTGATGAATCCACAGTTGTTGTTTTTTTGGGAGCTACACCAGAAGTCATCATCCGCATGTTTCCAACAGGAAGCTGAAATCCACTTAGAAAACTTCAGTCAAATCGCCCTCCTCTGACCGAACGCTGAAAGTTGCAAAAAAAACAAAACAAAATAGAACAAAGGTGCTCGTCTGAAATACTCGAAATACCTCAATTTAAACGAAAATGCACTTAAAACCACTTAAACGGCCAAATCATTTTTTTTTCCTTAAAGGTCCTAAAGTATGCGTACAATTATTATCAAATTAACTATACAATTAATTACTTTTTTTTTTTTTTTTTTTTTAAACATCTGCATTTTGACAATTAAAGGACAAATTCTTCTGGGTTTCAAGCTGCGGCGATCGTCCTCTGTCGTCAAAATGATTCAAATCAAAATGTTTTTCCTTTTGAATGGGGAAGGGTCCTCACAAAATCCTTCAAATCAGGAAGGAATTGTTTGTCTGAAACCCAGAGACGCTGAAGAATGGGTCAAATGCAGGTTTAACCCAGAGAAAATTCAATTTGTCAACTGGAAATTTTTTTATTTAGGTTGAAAATGTTCCGCAGCTCATCCAAGCGGCTTAACTCAGAGACACTTGGTTGAAAGATGGGTCAAATGTAGGCTTAAAGATGGGTCAAATGTAGGCTTAAAGATGGGTCAAATGTAGGCTTAAAGATGGGTTAAATGTAGGCTTAACCCAGCAACACTTGGTTGAAAGATGGGTCAAATATAGATTTAACCCAGAGACACTGGAGGACGGTTCAGATGCAGATAACGACTTTCAGTTCAGTAAAGTCAATCAAATCTACCTTACTTTATATTAGGATATCATTATTACAATTTTGCTCTGAAGGATGGGTCAAATGCAGGTTTAACCCAGAGACACTGAAGGGCGGGCCAAATGCAGATCAGTAAAGTCAATAAAGTGTACCTGACCTTATTTTAGTATATCATTATTATAATTTTGCTTTGAAGGATGGGTCAAATGCAGGTTTAACCCAGAGACACTTGGTTTAAGGATGGGTCAAATGTTGGATTAACCCAGAGACTCTTGGTTGAAATATGGGTCAAATGCAGGTTTAACCCAGAGAAACTTGGTTGAAAGATGGGTCAAAATCCAGGTTTAACCCAGAGACACTTGGTTAAAAGGTGGGTCAAATCCAGGTTTAGCCCTAAGACATTGGAGGATGGGTCAAATGCACATAACAGCTTTCACTTCAGTAAAGTCGATAAAGTGTAACTTACCTTATACTGGCATATTGTTACTATAATTTTTGCTCTGAAGGATGGGTCAAATGCAGGTTTAACCCCAGACACTTGGTTTAAGGATGGGTCAAATGCAGGTTTAACCCAGAGACTCTTGGTTTAAGGATGGGTCAAACGTTGGTTTAACCAAGAGACACTTGGTTTAAGGATGGGTCAAATGCAGGTTTAGCCCTAAGACATTGGAGGACGGGTCAAATGCACATAACAGCTTTCACTTCAGTAAAGTCAATAAAGTGTAACTTACCTTATACTGGCATATTGTTACTATAATTTTTGCTCTGAAGGATGGGTCAAATGCAGGTTTAACCCCAGACACTTGGTTGGAGGACGGGTCAAATGCAGATAACGACTTTCAGTTCAGTAAAGTCGATAACATCAACCTTATCTTACATTAGCATTATTCATTATCATTACTATAATTCCGCTCCACATTTGCATACTATGGGACCTTTAACAAACACCGTAACGTTATGTCCAACCATTTTGTTTTGTTTTTTTGTTAATTTGGTGATTTGTCGAACACCGTGGCTCCTCTCTGCACCTTATAGAGTTAGGGTTTTATTTTTACGTTGGAGTCACTTTTTGGAAATCGCCATTTTAAACTCAAAATTATCCCAATAACTCAAAATTATTCTCTGATTCTCCACTCGGTTCTCAACTTTCTGCTTGTTTTCTGTTTTGATTTAAAGCCGCACCGTGTCACTTTCCCGGCGTTGAGTCTGCTTGTCTCCACGGCGACGCTGTTGCTTCGCCTGGGATGTTCCGCACTGTGGCATTAAACGGCGGCGTTCGGTTTACGGCCGTTTCGCACCGATCAAAAACGCTCGTCTTGTCTCGTCCTTTTGGATACGTTTAAAGCCGTAACGCGGGACATTCTTCGTAAATAAGTGACGTCTCCACGGAAACGAGCAGCTGACAGACCATTTCGTCGGAAAAGTGACGCGGTGCGGCTTTAAAAAACGAGTGCGATGCAAAACTATAGCCGTAGCTCCCGTTTTTCTCCCTGCCCTTTAGTTGGTTTGAGTTGATCGCCGTAGCGTCTGATTTATTTACTCCTGTTGTTGCATGTTCTTCCTGTGTTAAAATTTGTAGTTTTTAATATTTTTTTTCTTTTAGCTGGTGCTTTCAAATTTGCAAAGTCCCATTTCTTTATAAGAAGTTGTACGTTTTGCCTTCTTTTACAAAGGTTTGAATCAGGGAGCGGGTTGGTTCCACTGCATAGGCCTGTCACCGTAATAAAACATGAAAAAAAAAAAAAAATTATAAATGCATGATAAAATTAAAACTACTCACAACGACCCGATACGTTTTTAAAATTTGAAAAAAACATAAAATATACAGCAAAAACTTGAAAATTTTTAACATTATCTCAGAGTTTATTTGAGTCCAATCTGTTCTAGAGTTAATTTAACATTTTTAGAAACATTAATCAAGTAACACTGGACCAAAGTTCCTGTTTAACCCCGAAATCCAGAGTTATATTAACGTTTTGAGAGTAAACAGGTAACACTTTGTAGAGTTATCCTGATTTCACTAAACAACACACAGAGGTGTTTTATTTTTACACTTTATTTGAGTTAATTTAAGATGAAATTATGAACAAAACTGGTTCAAACTGGTTCTACTCTGGAGGGAGTTTGAAGTGGAGGGAGGAGACGAATTAACACTAGTGGAAGTGGAAATAACACTAGGAAAAGTTGAATTAACACTAGTTTAAGTTGAATTAACACTAGTTTAAGTTGAATTAACACTAGTAGAAGTTGAATTAACATTTAAAGAAGTTGAATTAACACTAGTTTAAGTTGAATTAACACTAGTAGAAGTTGAATTAACATTTAAAGAAGTTGAATTAACACTAGAGGAAGTTAAATTAACTCTAATGAAGTTGAATTAACACTAGTTTAAAGTTGAATTAACACTAGAGGAAGTTGAATTAACATTTAAAGAAGTTGA